CGCCCTCCACCACAACGGCGTGCACTTTTTCGACATCTCAACTTCCAAAAGTGGTCCGACGCTGAGGTGTTTTGTACATTTTGACTTCGAAATGTGCTTCGCGCCACAACGGCGTGCACTTTTTCGACATCTCAACTTCCAAAAGTGGTCCGAGAATGGTGTGTTTTATGCATTTTGACTTCGAAATGTGCTTCGCGCCTCAACGGCGTGTAATTTGTCATCTCTCATCTGGCCAGCTGGCTCCGCACCCGCCGCTTTAGCGAGCCTACTTTTCGACCCTCCGGAGCCCCAAATCATTGGAAAAAACGCAGTGAATCGCGACTTTCCTACCTTTTCTCGCATCTGCATCTTCTTTCTACTTACTCTTTCTCTTCTACTCTTCTTTCTTCTAATCTTTCTCTTCTCTCTGCCTCTTCCCTGCTCTGCTTTTCATCTGTCCATATTGTCGGAAGTTTGACTTCTAAACTTCCTTCGACTATGGAAAACCACCGTCTCGGGGAAAAATCATCTATAAATGGTCCATGTTCCATAGCCATGTCGGTTTACTGGAGGGTATACTGGAATACCCCAATTATGTACCAAAGCGATTGATGCTGAGAGGCCAATCCCACTAATTTATAATTGGGGTAGATCTCACATATCTATATTGATAATATATGGTGATGTATGGTGATTTGACCCACTTGCAACGCCGTTTCATGCACACCCAAGTATGAAGATTTCGTGCTGAAATGTGGGAATTTCCAAAACATCTTCAAACATCTTCAAGAAATACAAATTTGGGAATTTCAAGAAAAAATCAACACCTTCAAAACTGGAGATCTTGATCTTGTACATTGAGCGGGTAGATATGGGGATGGCCATGGGGTGCCACCTTCTCGCCGTTGAGCACCAGCAAATGACGTGGAGCAATGCCAGGCAGAGCCAAGGGCCTGCCATGTGGCACAGCTGGATGCTTCGTGGGGATGGGGGGGTTTTATGGAATCACATGAGGGTTTTGTCCCAAAATGGGGGAAATACCGGAATACCAATAGTTAATGTCTAAACAAAATGAGGATCAACGCTGGGATTTTGAGGATGGCACCCGTGTTTTGGCAAACCCACATCACATGCCAAGCTGAAAAGACGTACCAATCAATGGCCATGGTTCAGCGACTTCCTTGACTCCCCATGCCCAACGCCCATGGTTCAACTAGCGCACGCATCAAAGGCCTCTTTGATGGAAGGATCGACCTGTAGCCGGCGGAGCATGCCCCTGTAAGTAAAACTCACCTAGATTGTAAAAGTAGCATTGAAACAGGACCTGAAACCTCAGGGAACCGGGAACCTGCGGCCTGCAAAGATGTTGCGCGCGTTGATTTCTGCAGTGCCAGGCTGAAACTCACCATTGTGAACACAAAAGTTTGCCGGAATAGTATTTCCGGGAAATATGTGAAAAAACTGTCAAAAAAAATCAGTACATGTTTTTAAAAAGAAGCAATTACAATAATCATTTAAAAAGATAATGATCATAATCATAATGATAAAAAAAACATCAATATAGGTAGCACGCAGCAATATTCATCATTAAACTATTGTTTAAAGTCTAAAGAAAATGAACATTATTATTTATTATTGTCATCATCATCATAATCATCAGAAGGTAGGGTGGACAATGAATGAAAACCGAGAATCGATTGAAAATGAGTGTGGTACCTGAAAATAGGGGATTGATGAACGAAATGGCCATGTGGATTCTTGATAACATCACGATCACGACTTCTGCTATGGATATTTATCGAAGGAAGTTTAGAAGTCAAACTTCCGACAATATGGACAGATGGAAAGCAGATATGGAAAGGGTCAGAGAGAAGAGAAAGGGTCAGAAGAAAGAAGATGCAGCTGCGCAAAAAGGTAGAAATGTCGCGATTCACTACGTTTTTTCCAATGATTTGTGGCCCCGGAAAGTTGAAAAGTAGGCTCGCTAAAGCGGCGGGTGCGGAGACATCTGGTCAGATGAGAGATGAAAAATTGCACGCAGTTGTGGCTCGAAGCACATTTCGAAGTCAAAATGCATAAAACACACCATTCTCGGACCACTTTTGGAAGTTGAGATGTCGAAAAAGTGCACGCCGTTGTGGCGCGAAGCACATTTCGAAGTCCAAATGTACAAACCACGTCAGCTTCGGAGCACTTTTAGAAGTTGAGATAACGAAAAAGCGCACGCCGTTGCGGCGCGAAGCGCATTTCGAAGTCAAAAGTGTTAAAAACTGACAGTCCCGGACCACTTTTGGAAGTTGAGATGTCGAAAAAGTGCACGTTGCTGTGGCGCGAAGCACATTTCCAAGTCAAAATGTTAAAAACACCACATGTTCCGACCACTTGCGGACGTTCAGATGTCGATTTGCGTGGCCGGACAAACGATTGTGCACCTTGTCAAAAGTGAGGAAAACGTGAATGATTTGTAGCAATTTCAACTACAACCACCACTACACTACACTACACTACACCACACCACACTACACTACACTACACTACACTCCACCCACCTACAACTACAACTACATCTATGCTACATAACACCACACTACACTACACTACACTCCACTCAACTACAACTACAACTGCAACTGCAACTGCAACTGCAACTACAACTACAACTATGCTATATAACACTACACTACACTACACTACACTACACTACACTAGACTAGACTAGACTACACTACACTACACTTTACTACACTACGCGAATTACATTACACTACACTACACCACACCACGCTACACTAGACTACACGACACTACCCTACATTACATTACACTACACTCATTACACCACCAAAAGCAACTGCAACTATAATACACCACAACTACAACTCCACTACACTACAACTACAACTACAGCTGCACTACATCACACTACATCCAGCAGTTGTGGGTGAGGTGACCGACCAGGTGACCACTGCAACCATTGCAACCACTCCAAAAAAAAACACAACTCCAACCACCTTTCAATCCATCAGTGGATTCGCCCTGCCATCCGTGATTCACAACAACCAAGCTCTCCTTATAGGTTTCCTATTCTGAAACTTCCGCCACCGCCTTGTGCGGTACTACTGGTGTATATATATATATATTATAGTATAATAAAACAGTCACTGTTATGTTTACTATCATTATATATTATTATCAATCAAGAGCTAGTATCATTATCATTATCATTACCATTATTATCATTATCATTGTTATTATCATTATCATTGTTATTATCATTATTACTATGTGTGTACCGTATACCTGAAACATATCCCCCATTTCTGGAGGTAAATCCTCCGTTCTGAATGGACACCCAAAAACAAAGCCCAGGCAGTCGCACCGTGGTTCGCACGTCCATGGCAAGAAGTGCGGACAATGGCGGGTGCTGCTGTGGATCTTCAAGAGCGCATGTTGATTTGTGGTGGGAGCATGTTGTCAATCTTCAAAAGTCAAACTGGTGAACGATGCAAATGTCGGAGGTGTTGAAGGGATGTGTCCGCAAGCACAGCTTGAGGATGCTTGCATTAGGATTATAATTACTGCTATTCCTTTTGCTACTAGCACTTCTTTATCTAAATTCCAGTGTCGCTTTGAACCCCAAGTCAGCTGGCAGAGCAAGGTACCGGAAGCCTTGCTAAGGATCATCTCCAATTCAGTCATTCTGTGGATGAACAAAATCCTTTTGCCAAACATGAGATGGTGATAAGATGGTGGATGATGTCAACCAATTTTGTGTCGAGATATTGTCCACAGATCACTCCTCAAGGCCTAAGACTCCACTCTGTCGCATGTGAATTGAAGCCGCTGTCGTCTTTCGATCTTCGTGACAACAAAACTCTTCAGCAAATTTGATCGGTATCCATAAACTCAAGAAAATTGAGCCGCAGAGTTGATTTCAAGTCTCACTGTCACTTTGCCAGTCGCAGACACCAGCCGGAAAGCGCGCTAAATGGAAACGAATCTGAGTGGATAACTGTCACAAAATCATTGAAGACGTTTTTGGATATGTGGTCAAAGGAAGTTGGGAAGCAATCTTCCGAGTTACGGATAACTTTTACCTCATGAAGGGTGGTGTGAGACTGTCCATCACATAACAATACACTCAATGAAAGGGTGGTGTGGGACGTGACATCACACAACAATACACTCAATGAAGGGTGGTGTGAGACTTGAAAGCACATAACAATACACTCAATGAAGGGTGGTGTGAGACTGTGGTGCGAGACTTGACACCAAGTGTGGAGTGTGTGGAGTGCGAAGTGTGGAGTGTAAAGCGTAAAGTGTGAAGTGTGGAGTGTAGACTGTAGAGTGTGGAGTGTGGAGTGTGCAGTGTGGAGTGTGGAGTGTAGAGTAGAGTGTGGAGAGTAAAGTCTAAAGTGTAGAGTGTAAAGTGTGGAATGTAGTGTTGAGTGTAAAGTGTGGAGTGTAGAGTGTGGAGTGTAGAGTGTAGAGCACGCAATGCGACACGTCTGAAGTGCTGCGCCTGCCACGCAAAATGACGATGGAGGTCTCCAAAGTGCTGCGCCTGCCACGAAAAATGCAACGCCTCTTCTGCAAACGACGCAAAAGTATTGCCCCTGCCACACAAAATGACTTTCGACATGTTTGCAGACACCTGAGAATGTCACGAAGTGCCACACCTGGCATGCAAAACCACATTACAACTTGCTTTGGCACCATGAAGCAGGATAGGTTTTGCAACTTCACCCATAGACACGGCGAGGCCAGAAGAAACCAGAAGAATCGAGATGAGACATGTTGGAGCCTCAAAACAAGCATGTCGTGCGAGACTTCAGTGAAATGGGAACCCTTGCTACGCATTCGGGAAAAATAGCTGGATTGTTTATTCCAAAATCAAAAAAAAAAATGATGATTTAGGGGTACCTCTATTTTAGGAAACCCCCCTATAATTTCCTATGGCTACGGACATCGTCGGCACGGGCGGAATCCACTCCTTTTCTTGCACCTTTTGCTCCAGCCTCTCAAGAGTCCGAGCTGTCCTGGCAATCGATCGATTAACTTTAAGCCACCTTAATAAACCAAGGGTTGTTCATCTGGGGTTAACAAATTAATATTATGTATATATATATATATATGACCCAGGACGCCCAAGCCCCCCGCCCCACCCCATGGTCCCCCCCCCCGGTGGTATGGTTCTTCTGGTCCCCCCCCTGTGGCCTGTGGTGGTGGTATGGTTCTTCTGGTCCCCCCCCCTGTGGCCTGTGGTGGTGGTATGTTGGTATGTTGGTATGTTGGTATGTTGGTATGTATGTTGGTATGTATGTTGTATGTATGTATGTATGTATGTATGTATGTATGTATGTATGTATGTATGTATGTATGTATGTATGTATGTATGTATGTATGTATGTATGTATGTATGTATGTATGTATGTATGTATGTATGTATGTATGTATGTATGTATGTATGTATGTATGTATGTATGTGTCCCGTGTCCCGTGTCCCGTGTCCCGTGTCCCGTGTCCCGTGTCCCGTGTCCCGTGTCCCGTGTTCCCGAGAGCGTGAGCTTGGGGGACCATACCATTTGGGGGGGGGGCCAGGGATCCGGAGTCCGGACTCATATATATATATATTTATTTATTTATGCGTTTATTTATTTATTTTTATTTATACATATGTATATATATATAATTATATATATAGTAGCTTACTATATTCTTCGGATATTCTTGGGATATCCAATCTGTTGCTAAATTCACATATGTTGGCGGCCTCTTGCAATGTGAGTCTCCGAACAATTCCTGTAGGAACCACCAGGTTTAAGGGAGTCCCGGTTCAGCCCAGAGCCACTGGATGACATATGGTGCGACAACGCTGAGTAAGATCTTGACCACCGCAGTTGTTTTATGGTCTTCGTTGTTTCCACTACGAACATGTGTTTATTGATCACATGTTATAAGATTTATAAGGTCTAATGAAGTGATCACTTCAGCTGAGCCAAGTCGTTGATAAATTTGCCCTCCGGCCCCGCGAAGAACCCCCGCGTGCCGAAGAGGACGAGGACTTCTTTCGCTTGCGGGAGACCGAGGCAACGGCCGCCTGAGAAAAGTCGTGAGGGGTCAGAAATGGTCCTATTCAAAATGACAAAGTCAATGGGTAAAGGTCACCATCCCCTGGTTTCAATTCCGGGACAAGTGAACGGGTAACTGGGTAACTTCCCCCCGTTTGTTTCATGGTCTTGTTAGCCACACCTCAGCCTTTTGGGCGGCCGCCAGCGCCGCCTTTCAGCGATCGCGCATGACAAAGGGATTGCTTTGCCATGAATTTGCTCACTGGGAGAAGCAAGGCTTGGGGAGTGAAGCCACAAAAAAATGGAAGTTTGCAGACCCAAATGGGAATGTAATGGCAAGGGGGGTGGAATGCAAAAATGGGGATATTGATATGGTTATAATATATATAGTACTTAATCATAATAATTTTATCATCATCCCAACGAACCAATCGACCCTGCCAAATAAGAGGTTGCAAGACAATTCTATCAGGGTCAAGCTATTATTTGGGGGGATGGTACACTTCAGGTATTTGACCAAAATGCGCTAATCCGATCAACCAAACTTTTGATTGTTGATGTATACTTGGCCATCTCTGATGACATTGGGGATGGGTTTTTGCTGTTGGCTTCGCCGCTTTGTGTCAGACTATCACCAACGAAAAACCGTGTGAATCTACTGGGTGGCTCATCCCACGAATCCGAAGTAGCTAACAAAATCTGGTTCCAAGTGGAATATGTAGGCTTCATTCACTTATAACTAGGGTGAACTAAGCTACGCACACGATTTCGATGAGCCACAAATCGTGAGCTCACCACAGCTGAAAAGCCCAACCTGTGCCGAGATCTCGTAAGCTTCGTTCAGCTGGGCCCGTAGCCGTTGGGCCTTGGCTACCTGCGGAGATCTTTTTGGGATCATCGAACTCTAAGCCTAGCTAGCCATGTTTGATGAAACCGGAGGGTAAAGGAAATTGATGGAAATTGATGAACAATCTACAATGCTTTGGCATATTCAATGTCCTTTAAAAAGAGACGTAGAGATGAGTTAGAACAGTTTTCCCTCTCGAAAACTATGCAATACACAGGTCGCGACTGGAGTCATTGTCCCAGGATTCGGGATGCACTGCACGATTCATGACAAATCCTGAAGAAACATACAGGACTTTGTATGGATTTGTAGTATATCTAGGTCCTAGATATATCTAGGTATATCTTAAGAATGTACCAAAATATGATGACTATTTCTCTTCCACCTTGTTCCCATATGTCTGCCAAAAATATATGTTTTTTCTTGGCGAAATCCCATTTCTAGATTTTATCAAGTCCATGTCTTGAATCGCCAAATAGCCGCCGGGTGTCATTTTTTTGCACGTGGCTTGAAAATTCCTCATTTACTTCGATGATTTTCCCATTTAGGAACCTCTCGGGGTTTCCCAGCCAGCCACCTTTGATGACACCGGAGGGTAACCATAATGCTCCCACAGAAATCCCTTTTTGTTGATCAAATCAGGTAAACCATCCATATGCTTCCTTATTTTCCGTATTGAATTGAATAAACACATCAAACCCAAAAAATGACCATTCATCACCATCATTAATGTAAATACTACTCACCAAATTCTTAACGATCAGTATCCATGACTGGTGATCCCTCATAAGGGAGGTGTCCCAAGTCAGGGATGGACGTCGTCACCATGGCTTTCAGTACTAAGTCATGGTCGTTTCGGACTTGGATGATTTGGGGGGAGCCATTTCAAATCATCATCCAAAAACTAGTCAGTCGTTTGGGATCATGGATAATGGATAGTAATATTTATAGATAATGGATATTAATGGATATTAATATGTCCAAAAACATCTATAGATCATATCGATATTATGGATAATGGATATTAAAATCATCTATGGATATTAATGGATATTAATGGATATTAATCTCCAACATCTATAGATAATGGATATTAGCCTACAGTATATAAATCCAGTAACATTATCCATTATCTATTAATAACTGTTAATCTCCAACATCGATGATTTTCCCAGCTGAAAATCCCAAATTTCCCACTGGATCCCCCGGCCATCTCCGCATCCTCCGAGGAACTTTCGGCCGCTTCGGCCGCGGCGGCCTCACGCGTGGCGTCGGTGTCTGACGTGTTGAAACACCAAATGTATGTGGAATGGATGGGTTTCCCACATTTTAACATGGAAAATGTATGGGTTTCCAACATTTCTTGATTTGGAATCTATGGGTTTCCCACATTTTTTGAGTTTGGACAATGTATGGCTGTCCAATTCCAAGTCAAACACCATGTTGGAAACCAGTGGGCAGTTCATGAAATGGTAAAGTCTGCGTCAAAAAAATAAAAAACACATTGGATGTATGGTGTTGAAATGTTGTTGAAAAAGGTTTGGAGTTTGAGTTTCCAAAGCTCGAAAATCCTGAGTTATCTGAGTTTGGAACAAAACCAACCAACAATTTTGGGGGTGAAGCTGTAAAAAAAGTACTAACCATCAGAGATTTTCTTGGGCCCCAAGCATCTAAAATTGGGGGGTTTGCCTTGCTGAAGAATGGGCTTTCAGATCTTTCAGCATGAAGAGTGGCAATGTTCACATGGAGGAAAATTGGGGTACACCGGTAGTACCGGCCACAAAACAAGTCGGCAATTCCCCCATGTGTTTTTCCGGATACGACCATCAGAAAAGTTGGGGTCTGAAACATGGTATCATAAGTTCTATAAGGTAATGTCCAACAACCGGATTAAAAAGAATAACAACTGGATGGTCTCTCAGGTGAATTCTGATGGCAAATCAGGTTAGATAACGTAAAAATTGATGCTGCACGATTTTCTGGTTTCTTACAGGTAGATTTGGGGCATTCTCAGGAGTCTATCTCGGTTTTTTGTGGGTCTCGGCCCAATGATTTCCGGAGAAACCGCTGTAGAGGTGGTAAAGCGTTGTTTCCAGGATGTCATCGAATGTTAAGTACGTTTTTACTTGATAATTTTCAAGTGTCCAACTTTTCTCATCAACTTTTGCTTTCTATGTGAGTGTGGGTCAAAGGCCTAGTACCTTGGTTTTTACACCCAAAAATGTTTGATGATGTGGATAATTATGCATCTCCTTATTCCAATGACCGGATAGGTATTGAACTAGCTCCAGATCTACAATCCATCAAAGCAATGGGATCCATGATCCAAGCATCGATTGTGTATATAGATATAGATATAGATATAGATATATATATATATAAGTGAGAGTGAGAGAGAGGGAGAGAGAAGAAGAAAAAACGTCGGGATCGAGGAAATGTGGAGATGAATGAATCATCAGCATGATGTCTGTGTGTGGAATGATAGAAGAGCAACATCCTCTACAACTACAAATGAACACGATTCCTAGGCCGGGCTCCCGCTCAAAAAAAACAAAACATCCCAGCTGCCTCCGCCGCTTCAATCTCAGCTGTAATCTCAGCGATCTGCTTGGCCGCCTGAGAGGCGGTCCACCATGAAAGGAAAGTTGGATTTAAGAGGATGCGACGCATGCGACCTGATCATTGCAGATTTGAGCCCTACCATCCATAAAATATCATCACATCATCTCTCCACAGGCGTTTCATTTTCACAGAGACCATTTGTTTGGATACAATTGGGTCTGTCTCATAGCTTACCCCGGTTACCCCCAAAGTCCCATGGTTCATCATCTTTCCGACAAACCCTCTGGTAAACGTTTATATACATAACATAAGGAACTGGAAAATCACCCATTTTTATGGGTAAATCAACGATTTCAAAGTGGGCCTTTTCCAGTTCGCAAACTGTTAGTCTACCAGATCTCCCCGCTTCCCGGTCCTGGGCTTCTTCCTCGGTGGAGCGTTTCACCACATTCTCGGCCTCACAAACCAGGGGAAACGCTTGGGGGGGTGCTTGTTAGATCTGACTAGACAGGGAATACAACAAGGGGATCCAAGACTTGGATGTGCATCCCATCTACTGGTTCTTAGCTGGTTGGTGCTTATTTTAACCATCTTGAAAAATGATGGAGTTCGTCAATGGGAAGGATGACATCCATTCATATTATGGAAAATAAAATTAATGTTTGAAACCACCAACCAGTTAGCCATGCTTACACACCAGTTCTAGATGGGAATTACTGGGGCATTCTCCCCGGTGAATCATGGTGAATCGCTGTGTTACTCGAGCATTATGCCGCGGGCATCCAGGTAACGCCATGGAATCATACGGAGGGGGCCCTTACTATGCTGGAGATTTCGGTTCACCATGCCCTCCACATCACACATCAACATCTCAAGCAACTCTCAGAGGACACCTCTTGAGCGGCTTTCTCAATCTTTGCTAAAGCCTGGAGTGTTGTGTCTGCAAGCTGAGGCAAGTTTTTGGCTGAAAAACTTGGCATCCGAGACAATTCTGGCTACAAAACCAAAACATTTGATGAACATGTTCAGCAAATTTTGAAAGGCCTGCACAAATTGAAGAAACCCAAATCTAGATGAATCTAGTGCATCTTGTTGCACACAAACAGGTTTGGGGTCATAAATGTCATGCATCTGCATCGTCGCCTTCTCAGCTTTCTTGGCATCCTTTCGTGCCTTCTTTTCTCTCTTCCGCTCCTCCAAGAAAGGAATTCGCACGTCCATCAGGGTCTGGAAAATGCAGGCAACACATGTTCTCATACGTTCCCTAAATTCATGTGTCCAGGAATACACATTTTAGGCAAATTCGTTTTCCCATGCTGGGTATCCCACATTCGCCAGCTTTCTCCATTTATGGCAAAATGCTAAAGTATCACCGACAGGTTATTTTTACGGTTGGGTATTCCCCAGTAATGAGGACGGTTTAGTATTGGGTATACCCCTACTTCGGATGCTTTATGAAATTGTCCCCAAATGATTGGTTGTTGGCATGGTGTATTGTTGGGTGTGCCACATTAGAACCCTTTGGATTTTTGCCCTTACTCATTTAAATATCCAATCAGTCGGTTTTCAGGGGGTGGTAAATGACCTAATTGAACATCACCCAACAAAAAAAGGGAATATATATATATATAATCTCCAACAGATACTTGTTCAAGTGATTTTCAAAATCTCCCCAAACGGGACATCAATCCTAACCCCTGGTTGACCCAGTGACGGGCACTCCAGTCCTTTTTCAGTTTCTTCTTCTCCTTCTTACTGAGCTCCTTCAGGCACCGGCAGGGCGACTTTGTCTGCGATGAGCTAAGTGTGCGATATCTCCCGAGGCAGTGAACATACTGTAGTTGGGTGTCTAAAAATGGTGGCATTTAACCGCAAAATGGCAATTCAATATGGAAAATGATGATGAACCATCCAATTTGGGAGTTTAGCCATCAAATTTAATTTGGAGGGTCCCTAAAATCTTCAGACAAACCTACCTGATCTTACATCATCCAAATATCACTACTTAAATGTTTTCTTACTACACTGCAGCTTCAAAACAGAGCAGCTTGACGGCACCTTGATGCAAAGCGGTGAAACTGCATGGATGGTTGAATCACAACCACATCCCAACGAATACCCTTTTAGTATGCCAGATTTGGGATATCAGCAATCACTTAAGAAATTTCGTTGAGTATGCATTTAAATTACTGGGCCTGTGGTCCTTTTTCTGTTGATCAAATCCAAGGCTGGCCCAGAGTGTTGTACCTTGGCTGGTTTCTCTTCAACCACGGGAGCCTTCGCTTCGCCTGAGGCGCTTGTACTTCCATGCAGTACCAGGTAGTCCCAGGTGGTTTCCGTTGGCAAATTTTGATGCGTACTGGGGAAGTGTGAACCTGGTACCCCCCAAAAGTACCCAAACTGCTTCCCATACCAAAACGTCTCTGGAATCCAGAAAAAAAAAGTGGCTGAATGCCCCCACCCTGTCCAAAAATGTCAAGAATACATCATAATCATAATCATGTGAGCAAATCTCTATTCATATACTATATAATATATCCCAATTATATCCCCATTATGTCCAATTTCCATCCCATATAATCCCCATTTTCCCACCATGGTCATCCATTTTTTCTAAGGGATTCTCTCTGCAACCATTCCACCAATCATGGCCTGCAGCGTCGAGCTTCTGTAGCTCAGGCGCAGCAACGCGGGACCAATCCTGGTACTGCTGTAACGTATTTATTTATACATAGATTTCGACCAAAGAAATCAAAGCTACAATCAGATGACATCCCAGAAGATTTGATCCCAGACTTGGATCGAGATTCCAGCATTTCGGATGATCACAGATTTAAGTGGCCTCTGTAGCAATTGTTTTCCTATCTCAAACTTCTGATCCCGGTCCCAGACTAAGGAATTCGGGGGAGAGAAAAGTAACTGGACTTTTGCCCACTTAGGTTGCTGAAATAACCATCATCACTGACATCCCCATTCATCAATTCATCATCCATGTTTTCGGATACATGAAATCATCCAGCTGGGGTACCCCCATGACCTGTTGGGTCCTCCAGCTCCTGAGCGACAGCATTGGCCAGCTGCACCTAAAGACGGCCCCGAGGCCCGTGGGCTGTGGGTCAAAGGATTGACCTGGTGGAAACCAAGCATTTTCTGCAGGTATATTGGGATACTTATTGACGTTTATTAATGTGTATATGTGGATATGTGTATGTATAAATATATATATATATATGTATGTATGTATGTCTGTCTGTCTGTCTGTATGTCTGTCTGTCTGTCTGTCTGTATGTCTGTATGTCTGTATGTCTGTATGTCTGTAAGTAAGTATGTATGTATGTATGTATGTATGTATGTATGTCATGTATGTATGTATGTATGCATCATGTATGCATCATGTATGCATCATGTATGCATCATGTATGCATCATGTATGCATCATGTATGCATCATGTATGCATCATGTATGCATCATGTATGCATCATGTATGCATCATGTATGCATCATGTATGCATCATGTATGCATGTATGCATCATGTATGCATCATGTATGCATCATGTATGCATCATGTATGCATGTATGCATGTATGCATGTATGCATGTATGCATGTATGCATGTATGCATGTATGCATGTATGCATGTATGCATGTATGCATGCATGTATGTATGTATGTATGTATGTATGCATGTATGTATGTCTAATAGAGGATGAAATCTCAAGTCACAAGTGTCAACAGTGCAAAGGAGCTGCCATTTGTCACCGCGAATGCAGAAAAGTGAAATCTGGCTAAGGGCCCTTGGACAAAAGAATCAAGGAATGAATTCAGTGGACATGCATGTGCCAACAGTGAATGAATCGGACAGCACAGAACTTTCACCGGTATATTTTTTCTTTGGCACGTGCATGTTCAATGGCTTCTTGCGTGATGATGCAAACAGGGTCTTTCAGCCACTTTGAAAAGTTCTCACGAAGTTTTGCATCAACTTTGGTCAAGCCATCGCTAAACTGGTACTGCGTTGGAACCCAACGAATGCTCTCTAACGGAGCCTGCTCTTGGAGCGATCGAATGCTCACCAAGGTTCGTTTGTCGTTTAATGTTGGGTTCTCTGAAATTGCAGCATCGAACAATGACTTAGCATCTACCAAGTGTAATGATGCCAGTCTTGTGCCTACTCTATGCGCAGGTGTGTTCCACAGCAATTCACTGAGGAAAAGATTCACGTAAGAGCACCTATCTGCTGCTTCATCTGCTGCTGATGCTTCTGCTGCTAGTGTCGACCTACAAACTCTGGGCGATCTACTAGACTTCCAGTCAATGATGACAAAACTGGAAACTGCTTCAAACACTTCTGGGCTAGTGATTCCAATCAGTGTGCCAATCTGGCTACCACTCTTGTAGGCATTATTCCATGAGGAATCACTATAAGCAACTACTACGGAGCTACGGTTCAATGGAACACACGGGATCAGTAGACCTTGGTCAGGTGTGTTCTTTATGTAGTCAAGCATGCCATAGAGGGACTTTAGGTCGTTGACCCTAGCTTCAGCACCGTGAGGCACGAGACTAACTGATGCCGCCACTTCTGGTCTGCATTGAGTTGCAAGCCATTGAAGACATCCACACACGCTTCTTAGTTCTTTCTGCTCATGCTCATTCAAGTGGTCGTCTGTGTTGCGGCCTCTGATGACCTTTGCAGTATCGAGTCCTTGAATGAATTTCTTCATAGTGATATGAAGGTTGATCTTGCCGTGTTTGTCTTCTATGAGGGTCAACTCCTTGCCTTTAAAAGTCACTGGTTTGCCCACTTCCAGTTCTTGTCGAGATCCCCATTGAAAAAGATCATACACTTGTTGAATGGGAAAGTCTTGTCGATAAACTCCTACGAAGTCGTCAACATAGACTAGGACTGCTGCTTGCACTTCACCAGAGTCGGTGTATTTGACGTACAGCTGCTTGTCAAACATGTGTTGAGTAAATTTCAAATGGGCGAGTCGGCGGCATACTTCACGTTGCCAGGTAATTGGTGCATTTGCAAGGCCGTACACGTTCCCCCTTATCCTGTATAGTGCGGCTGTCCAGTGATTTGTACGGCTGATAAGGCCGTCCCTTGGTGGTCGCATGAACAAAGGTCCATCTCGTTCCTGAGGGTCTTGAACTCCTTGGAGAAACGCTGTCTTTGCGTCTCCAATCCAAGTGATCCAAAGTTGTTGAGTATCAAACAAGCACCTGTTGGATCCACTTACTATCATCAGGAACATGATGTGCTCGGCGATTCTTCCAGGGGTTGAAGCATTCCTGGACAACTGTTGCAGGTCAGGGTCAAGATGGCCTAAGGCCACGATTCGGCATTTGGCAACGACATCACCGATGCCGCAAGCTTTGTCTCTGTAGCATGCCCGGCTGGGCAATATTCTCTTAGACAACACTGGGTCACTGAACACTTCTTGAGCCTGCTTGTCAGACAGGGGTTCTACTGATTGCCATTGTTGCCAGGCCACCGCCTCCTTGTCGATGGCGGCCAGGAACTTGTCGACATAGGATGGAGGCATGGAGAGGATGGTTCTCCATGGAATCTCGCGATCCAGTGCTTTGACTTCTTGTCGTGTCATGCCTTGCTTGTAGGCTGGTTGCATTGGCTGCAGTGCTGTCTTGCCACTTTGCTTTTGCTTGCTGCTCGTTTTGAGTGCTAGCTGCATTGTTTGGGGCTTGTTGACTTGCTCGGTCTCATCCGAGCTAGAGTCGTCAGTTGTGTCTGGCTCCTCAGGTGGCTTGTTCTCTTGCAAAACGTCTTGTTTTCTCTGATGTGTTGTCAAGTATGCTTTGTGGTACCTATTGCTCTTGGGGCCGAATCCAATCAGTGGTGATCCATCCCATTGGCTACTGACTCGTTGGATTTTGTTGTGCCCCAGTGGTCGCAATGTGATGAGGCTGTCAAATGTTCGTTTCTGTGGTAACATGTTGTCCGTGGAGTCATCTTCAACCTCAATCACTTGTGGTGTTTCTGGCACCACATCATGTTGCATTGTTTGAGAAGCCGAACTTTGAGCCGTAGACCCTTGTGTTGGGCCTGGTTGGTGTTGCTCGGGCTCTGTGGGGTCCAAAATGGTGTCCCCTTGTCCAAGGAATTGTGAAACTGTCTGCGGTGGCATATGTTCGAGGGATTGTTGCTCCTCGGTTGGCTGCGGCAAAGTCAATGTTGATGGTTGTTCATCAGTCATTGTCGCGGCAGGCGGCAAAATTGTTGGTGCTTCAGCTGGTGGTAGTTCAGCTGGTGGTTGTGAAACTGGCTTATCACGCACCTCTGTCCTCCGGGAGTTTGGTGTTCGTGACCTGTGCTTTCTGCTTCGGGTTGGTATGTCTCCGAAGCGTTGAAACTGCATCGTCTTGTTGGTGATATGTGTAGGACTGTCAATGTTCACCTGAATGGTGGACTGTTGTTGTATGACAGTATCTGATTGTCGAGGCTGCATCGAGGATGATGCTGGCTTGGCTGGTGGTTCGGTCTGTGGAACTGGTGTGGCAGGTACCATCATTGATGGTGTTGGTGGGATGGCAGCACTCTCAGGGTCAAAGATGTCATCATCCTCGATGTTCAGGTCTGGTGGTTCAGGACCCCGGTCATCGAGTAGCTGGTCTGTAAAGCTTGTAGACGCATTCTTTAGTGCTGCGATATCTTGGGGATCTGGTGCCCAATCTTCGAACCCAAAAGCAGCTCGAATTTGCTCTGCGGTGGCTAGGATTGTTGTTGCACCACTTCGAATCCAAGCTTGTTTTCCTGGGTGAGATGGGTCCCAACTCAAGAATCTGCCTATCACCCAAGTTCCTCTCTTACGAGGTCCACGAGGTCCACCTCTTCGGCTCCATCGCCAGAATGCACACTTCTGTCCTGGCTGCAAATCTGCAATGTTGGTCTTGCGAGTCTTCCGCAAGAGAGCTCGACGCAAGTGCTGGCTAACGTCGAGGTTGTGGAGTGTCTTGATGGCCTCATTTCTAACAAGGTCAGCTCGTAGTCCTGGATTGGTCTCATCCCTGATGGCTGAGGATGATGTGGCCAGGATCATTGGGTCGTTGAAGTTGCTATCTAGCAACCTGGGCTGCCTTCCAAAAACTGCCTGGTAAGCACTTCTTCCATGAGTTTGGATCTGTGAGTTGATGGCATGGCATGCTGCAGAAACCAAAACTTGACACCGTTCTGGAATGTCAACAGCAAATTGATCTATCAGCTTTTCCAAGATCAACCTCAGCACTGAGTTCCGTCGCTCTATCATGCCGATGATATGGTGAGCTTCTGGTGGACAGTAGTCCAGGTGGATGCCTATCGCCTGAACTCTATGTTGAAACATGCCCTTGAAGGAAGGATCAGGATCACAAAGAAGACGTAGAGGCAAACCAAAGGGTCGAAGCCAAAGATCATGGAGAAGCTGAAAACATGTTTCACTGTTTCGGTCGTCGAGAATGCCTGCTTGGTGCAATCCCATGGCCCTATCAACTACGCCCAAAATCATGAAGGTGGTGGCTGTAACAGTACGGCAGTAGCATATGTCTGCCTGCAGCTCATCGTTGAACTGTCCCACTGTCAATGAAGGCATTGTTGAAGGCCTTGGTTTTTGTGGTGGTTTCAATCTTTCGCAAGTGGCGCATCGTAGATGCCGAACTGCTTGATAAACCATGTCTGGAACGTTGCCTTCGTAAGCCAACAGTCGACATAGTTCTTGTGATGTTGGATGTCCCAAATTGAGATGTAGTCGTGCGACAGTACGCTTCACCTCTTGGGACAGTGACTGCTGAGACGTACCTGGAAAGTCGATGTCGGTGGGCAATCCAGGGACAATCGCTGGTCCAGGTTCTGTTTGCTCAGGTTGCTGCTGTTCCGACGTTGCTGGCAGTTCTCGTCGGGCACCATAAGCAAACACTGCGTATCTGACAGTCTTGTGGAACTTCTGCTTTGGAAACCTCACATTGTCTAGGTCTTCCACTTCTACTTTGCGATCATCATCTGCAAAGAAGAGACAACATGCTCTAGTCGACCATTCGTCAACATTGCTGGGAATGCGCCTGGTAGTTGGGCTCGCAACTGCTTGGATCTTGATGGCGTCAATCCTGAAAAGTGATTGAATGTATTTCCCCATCTCGCTGTTGGTGGCGATCAGGAAGGGTCGTTTGCTTGATTGGCTGAACGCTGCATCAAGATGTTGATACACGGAGTCCCAAGCTGCCAGATCAGTCGTTGGTTGTTGGACTGGTAGTGCTTGATGGACTCCACGCTGTCGAGTGCAGAAGCGCTGAGGTTGTAGCTCGCGAGCAACTCGTCTCAGAGCTTCCAGAATTGTTCTGCAGAGTTCCTCAGGATAGGCCTGAGAAGCACGAGTGAGCTTCCCTTGAATGGGTGTGCATTGTTGTCGTTGTTCTGGGAGAAGTCTTCGAGAAAGTTGCTCATCAAGACCTGGAATGTTACCGATGAAGGTGATTGGTTTTGCAACATTGTGACCGTGAACCATAAGCCCAAAAACTCCTGAATCACATGTTACCGTCCATACTCCAGGAAGTTGTTTCAACCGTTCCATCTCTGGGGTCTCCCACACTTCTGACCGCATCAGAAAGTATCTGTTGTTCTTCAACTGCTCTTCTGCCACTGATGCTGCCATCTGTCTCAGTGGAGCGTCACCTTGTTGAAGCTGGAACAAGTTGTAGTGACGGCAGTCCAGTCCCATCAAAGTAAGGAGAGGACGAAACCGTCTCAAGGTCTTGAAAATGTTGTTTTGCACTTCCTCTTTCATGAAGTCCTGTCCATAGATCAAGTCATACGGTTGGAGGACATCCAGGTCATACTCAGGGGCGAGCTTCGTGGACAGGGCTTCACCTGCAAAGAGCTCCCATAAATCAACGCTGGGTGAAGGTCTTGAAGACGTTGGTGTGATTCTTTGTGTGATATTGACTTCTGACAAAAGGATGTTGGCAGACTGTTTCCACTGACCTCTCAGCCTCTTGGCGGTTCCAGGTTTCAAGGTCATGGATCCACCTCGTTCCACTCGAAGTCGTAGATCTCGCTGTCCGGATTCTGGATCACTCCCAACTCGATGAGTCTGTCCCATCGCTTCTGATCTGCCTGCAGCTCCACCCTCTGATGATCCTCCTCGTGGCCTGGGTCGTTGGCCCAAGCCTCCCACATCCAGTTGTGAGTGCCCATTTGGAGTGCGCGTATGGGACTCTCTTGGATCATGATCTGCATGACTTCCACTTGCTCCTCCTCCGTCAAGTGGTCCATGTGGAGCTCCATGTCGTCGAAGGATGTCCATTGAGTCTGAGGGCCTGCTGACGTGTTGGAAGTGGGTCCCGGTGTGGCTTTGGCTTTCGCTTTGGACGTGGCTGCACGTGTCGCCGCTGTTGAAGATGGCGCTGAAGTTGCGATCGTTGCCGAAGATGGTGGTGGCAAAGGTCGCAATCGCGAAGAGTGTGCGCTTGGTCCATGAGGCTGCCACTTTTCGAGGGCTTCGTTCCACTTCCACTTGGTCAGGCATTGAAGGCACTGTGCAAATCTGCCTCGTGGATTGCCGTACCTCTTGCACTGGAAGTGATCGCATGTGTCTGGACTGGCTCTGATGCTCACTTGTGGTGGTAGTGCTTGAAGTACGTCTCGGGGCATTAGGCTCAGATTGATGAGACACACAGCTTGGCGGATGAAGACCTTGAACACGTTCTTGATGATGAGCACTATCCGACGCCATGACGCCAACCATGCTGGTGGAGGCTGGTGCATTGCTCGGACACGAGATTGAAGGCAAAAGGATTTCAGAGTCCTCTGGTGTCACGTGGTCAAACATTTCTTTCCAAAATTTCTGGTCAAAGCTGTCTTGAGAAAAATCCATGATGTCGATGGCCATGTGACCTCCTAGTCGATGAATCTTTGTAGTGACTCCTAGTTTCCTAAATGTAACCAGATCGGCGCTCAGGTCCAAAACAGCACCAAGTTGTGTAAGCAGTGAGTTCGATCCCAAGCATGGAATGTTCTCTTCTAAAACACATGTGCCCAAAAGAAATGGTTCGCCTCCAACTCCTGATGGCAAAAACGTTCTTGTACTTGACTTAGAAGGTGATCCTTTGCCAAACTGAAAAACATCTTCCGCTTTGACTGAGTAGGGGAGCAAATCAAATTGTTTCAACTTGGTCAGGTGGGCATTCATCCACTGCTTGCCGCAACATGTTCTCTGACATCCGGAATCCAAAACTAGAAAACCCGCAAACACGTCGACATGCGCTGCAGTAAAAGCATGGTGAATATCCATGTTGTGAATCATGCCAACTGAAAAGATCTGACCATATTCTTGTTCTTGCTGATCATGAATAGAAACTGCTCCATGTTCATGATGAATAACGCCAACAGCATGTCGCTTTTTGTCAGGCACACGGTTCGACGGAGGTGACCTAGAAGAAGTGCCTTGGTTCTTGGGACACTCTGGGTCCTGATACCAATGGCCTTTGGCACCACAAGCACTGCAATGAGTGTGCTTCTTGGCATCCGATGGACTCGCACGATCTCTAGGGCCAGAAGGCTTAGACTTGGCCCACTTTCGACCAAGCGTCAAACCACTCAACTTCTTTGCAGTGATGGTGAGGACTTCGGCTAGTTCTGAGAGATCAGGATCATCACCTTCTTGGGCTGTGTGTTCGCTGTCAGCTGATTGGTCAGCTTCTTCTTCTGCTTGCGGTTCTTCATCAATAGTCTCAAGATTCTCGGGTGTGTCATCATTGGCTGGCTGTTCAACTTCCGCAACAAAGGCTCTTTTAACACTGCCACCTTTGCCAGACGAGCTACTGAGGGCAGTGGACGAAGTTCGATAGGAGGTGTGTGAATTGGTAGTAGAGCTCGACGAACTTGCCGTAGAGCTCGGAGAGGATGAAGGCTTTCCTTTGGAAGAACCCTTTGAAACTTCTCTACCATTGGCTCCAAGAATCGGTGGTGCACCTCGATAGTCAGGAAATTGGAGAACCATTGCCTCTGCCAACTGATCAAAAGCAAGACTCTGACTTGTTCCCACAAGTAACATGCGCTGCTGTTCATGACTCAGCCCACTCCTGTCTAGAAGTCGAGCACCAAGTGATTCTGAGTCGTATGTATACGACACTTCTATGCCAACTGATCGCAGAGACCTCTGGACTCTTCGAAATCTATTGACATACGCACGAAGTGTTTCTCCATGATTTCGCCGAAGGTTCTCAAATTCATGGAGATATCGACGCTTCTGGTAGATCTGCTTCTGTTCCATTGGAGCTTGAAGAGCGCTCAGAATCTTTTGCACTCCGTCATCACAGTAGATTTCGGAGACTGGGGTGTGTTCAAGCTCTTGCTCTGCTTCTCCTTGGAGGGCTCCATAGAGTTGCAGCGCAGCCTCTTTCTTAGTCATGTAGGGTGCCACTTGCAGCATCCAAATCTCTACCTTCTTGACATACTTGTTGTAGGCTCTCAAGTCGTCTTTGTCATAGCTCCATGTTGGCGGGTGAGGTGGAGTGCCACCGCGCCATCGAACTCCTTTGAAGGGGCCCTTCAAGGATGACCACTCCTCGGAGTCGCTCTTCTTGTCCAAAGCTTTGGTGAGTGCTGCCACCAAACGCTCATCCGAAGTCTTGGCAGAAGGAGATGCATGAATCGATCTACGAGTGGCTGGTAGGTCATGTCTATGAGATCCAAGTGGAAGCTGAGCCGCATGAGTCTGTCTCGGCTCAACCTCTACAACTGGGTCAGCGGTTGGAACTTGTGACTCTGCAGTTTCACGGGGCAGTGAGTCATCACCAGATGGATCATACTTGCCTCTCATACGCCTTCGCCTTCTCTTCTGTGACGATGAAGCAGGGGCATCGTGACCAAATGGGAGATACAACCAAGAACCATGCTCACGCACGATCTTCGTGGGGCGATCTGTCTTATAGAATTCAGTGCCACTACACTCAGTGCATTGCCAGTTCTCTGCCTCCGGGTTCCAATCATAGTTAGATGCATCACACCTCAGACAACACCAAGACAGCCTTGGAGTAGCCACAACTGGCACGTCAGGTCTACCAGGGTTGGGCTCATTCACATTGAAAGACTGCGGGGCCTGGATCGGATCATCTAAGTCGTCATGCAGGTCTGTTTCACCTAGGGGCCATTCCTCCTCAAAGTAGTGATTCTCATACTCATCAACATCTTCGGGTGGCCACTCATGATCAAACACATCTGCAGGTTGGTTCATCGAATTCCATGTTGGCATGACAACTCAGAGGTAAAAGGCTCCGGTGCCAACTAATAGAGGATGAAATCTCAAGTCACAAGTGTCAACAGTGCAAAGGAGCTGCCATTTGTCACCGCGAATGCAGAAAAGTGAAATCTGGCTAAGGGCCCTTGGACAAAAGAATCAAGGAATGAATTCAGTGGACATGCATGTGCCAACAGTGAATGAATCGGACAGCACAGAACTTTCAGTATGTATGTATGTATGTATGTATGTATGTATGTATGTATGTATGTATGTATGTATATATGTAGAGAGAGAGAGAGAGCTGTTTATGCACATTCTATGTCATACATACATTTCACATGTATTACATGCGAAATATCAAAGATACATCTCTTCAAAGGAGCACTCGATCTCCATCGCAGCCTTGGGAAGCTGAGGGAGAGACCCCTTTCAAGGACTGGCTGTAGACTCTCTGGAGCGACCTGCACAGCTGGCCGGGACTGAGCCATGGAGATTGTACGATGCAGAGCGCTCCAAGCGTGCTGTCTGGAAAAATGGAGAACTGCCCAAAAACCACCGGAAGTGGCAGTGTCTTCAGGAAAATGCTGAGAAATGCCCTGTTTTTGCCTGGCAAAGCATCAGAAACAGACCAAGGGTCTTGTTTCTCAATCCCAAAAGTTGTGTTTATTGACATTTCCTGAAACAGTCTCTGGTGTTCGGGATGGATTAAAAATACTAAAATTAGAACCCAGTGCGCCGCGGATTTTGGTCATTAGTATTTGCAATCCATGTCTGGTTGTAGTAACCCCTAGAAAAATGCCGAAAACCTCCATCTCCAACAGTGGCAAAATTAGTATGTTTTTCTCCCTATCCTTTGGACATCCATTGTTTGTCTATTCTTCTATGGGTCAAATGTTCCCACGAGTTAATCCAGTAGGCTAAGCAAGGTGATTGTCCACTTCATGGGGTGAACTAAACCCCTTACTAATTGGGCCAAATACGGAAGAAAGGTTAGCAATGTGTCATGGTTAAATCAGATCAAATCCCCAATGGTTTGATTTTTACGTAAAAATCAACTTCTTCCAGGATTAAATCCCAAAATGTCATGTTTCCTCTACCACATCCCAATGGTTTTATCTTTACTTAAATCCAGGATTCTACGGGGTTGATTGGATACGATAGATTCATATGTAACTGTCCATGGCAACAAAAATCATAGAGGGATACCAATATTTGTGGTGACTAACACCCCCAAATTCATGGTGGATTCCTGGTGGCCAAAAATCTGTTTGGCTCAAAATCTCTGTGGATTCCAGCCAAATTTCCATACCCCAGCCGTCAGAACCCCAGCCTCAGCTGGTCCGCTGCCGTCTTGGCACGGCCAAGCAAGGCGAGGTCCGCCGGGATGGCCCTGGGTGATTTTTTCACCCGATGAGGCGGTAGAAAATCCCATGAATCCCTTGGGATTTGACTATTTGACCATGGAAACATGGAAAAATTGGGGGAAGATTCACTAAGAATTTGGACTTGATCACAAATTGAGAGTTAGCCATCAAGAATTGGAGGATTCAGTTCGCAAATTGGCAGATTTCTGCACACGAAACTTGTTGAAATGGTGAATTCACAAACTAAAATGTTACTTCTAGACCATGACAAATGTGTGCTTTATCCAATAATGATGGTGATTGTACCATCCTTCATTTTTGGGGGAGAAGATGCTCCCGTTTAAACCAACTGCCAGGCAGTTGAATCCCTGGTTTACCTGGACCTGGAGTCCTGGAGGGACGTCCCCACTGAGCTGCAGCACTTGTATTTGTGCAAATTTTCGAAGAAGAGCCTCAGAGGCAACCATGGGACCCTTCTGTTTCTCAGGGGAAGAGAGCTGGCCATCTCATAAACAGAAAAAACATTTCCTTGATCTTTCTTGTACAGTCTATGACATGTATCTTTTGGTCAGGACATGAAGAACCATCTCAAAAAAAACGCTAACAGTGCCCAAAATTCCGCGTGTTTTCCTCGCAAGGGAGAGGCGGACCACGTCATTCTTTGGACGGTTCGTTTCAATATCCGCAAGTTGGAGCACCCTGCAGTCACAGGGTCGAGTGAATATTTAGTTGATTTAGTGGTTTTAGGTCGGTTTCAACATCATTTTTCCGTTGGGTTGATTTTGTTGGGATCAGGAAATGATGGGACTTAGCTGTTAAAACACAAGGTCCTGCAAAAAGATGTCCCTTCAATGGATCCAATTGATCTGAAGAGGCTCCCAACTCTGGGACATGCCCAGCTTATGTACAGGTGATCTGCCGGCGCTTTGGGCAGGACCAAAGCCCGGAAACGCGGTGACCCTTTTGAAAGTTGGGGCACGTTTTTTGCTCGTTCTGTTGGATGAACAACCCCCAAATCACTTTCTACCACGTGTTCCAACATCTTTCAACAGCAAGTCTTGCATCATCACAGGACCTACAGGATCCTGGGTATCTTTGTCTTTGGACCAACTAACCTTCGAAGCATTGCCAAAAGTCGCAGGCGACCGTGTCTTCCACCCGCTCCATCCCTCTAATCTGCAAGCGAAATCTCACCTGGTTGTCATGCCAGGGCCACTGATGGCCATTTCTGGACAGAATTTGACGTGGGTTTGTATAATAATGGGGTAACCGTCAGATTGGGGGGGGTACTCTGTTTTTAGGCAAACCCATGTGAGATTTCTGAAGGGTGTGAAATTTGCTACGGATTAAAGTAGCCTGCGTAGAGAGCACTTCCATAAAACAAGTGTAAAACAATTGTCATGGACAAGCAATCAGATTTCAGAAATGAGCATTACATGGCCCAAAATTGGGCAACCCCAAAGCGCATGGTCCATGGCCCAAACCGCAACAAAAAAAACATGATAGTGAACCCATGATGTTTAAGCCCAAGTTGCCAACTCAAAAAGATGGTGTACATTTATTTCTTCTGTAAATTTCATGTACAGTACATTAGTAGAATCCCAACCACTGTTTCAGCACCGGCAAGGTGATTTCCGTGATTGATGGTTACAAAAAAATTGTCAATGATCAGGAATATCTCAAAATTCTCATGTTTTTGCCATGACACTATATGTCCATGTCTTCGGATATTTTGCTGGTGTTGCTTTTTGATTCAATCTGCATGTGTTCAAATCAAGACCATTTGTTTGTTGTTTACAATTCCCGTTTTTGCTTGGCAAAACAAACAAATGCAACAGTTAAAGCCCAAAATCTTCATGAATTCCCCATGTAATTCTCACGTACCGTTTGGCCACCAAGTCACATAAAGCGCCCGTTCCCTGGGGCAACTGATCACCGTGGCCAGGACATCATCGTTTTGGACCTCCGACAGCGAAAGGAAGGACTGGATCTGTTGGAGATCCAAGGTGGGCGCCTTTCCCGCCAGCAACTCCTGGAAAAACGGGGAGAAGGGGATGAGCCACGTTTTTCTCGTTGATGAATATATATATAGAGAGAGAGAGATAGATAGATAGATAGATAGGAGAGATAGGATAGATAGGATGGATAGGATAGATAGGATAGATAGGATGGATAGGATAGATAGGATAGATAGGATAGATAGGATAGATAGGATAGATAGGATAGATAGGATAGATAGGATAGATAGGATAGATGGGATAGATAGGATAGATAGGATAGATAGGATAGATAGGATAGATAGGATAGATAGATAGGATAGATAGGATAGATAGGATAGATAGGATAGATAGGATAGATAGGATAGATAGGATAGATAGGATGGATAGGATGGATAGGATAGGATAGGACAGGATCGACAGGATCGACAGGATCGACAGGATCGATAGGATCGATAGGATAGATAGGATAGATAGGATAGATAGGATAGATAGGATAGATAGGATAGATAGGATAGATAGGATAGATAGGATAGATAGGATAGATAGGATAGATAGGATAGATAGGAGAGATAGGAGAGATAGGATAGATAGGATAGATAGGATAGATAGGATAGATAGGATAGATAGGATAGATAGGATAGATAGGATAGATAGGATAGATAGGATGGATGGATGGATGGATGGATGGATGGATGGATGGATGGATAGATAAATACATCGATAGATGCATAGATCGATACATGGAGAGCTAGATAGATACATAGAGAGATAGATAGATAGACGGAGAGATAGATAGATAGATAGATAGATAGAGAGAGAGAGAGATAGATAGATAGATAGATAGATAGAGAGAGAGAGATAGATTAGATAGATAGATAGATAGATAGATAGATAGATAGACAGACAGACAGACAGACAGATAGATAGATAGATAGAGAAATGTATATTATCTAATTATATCTACATTATATGTTAATACATGTACATCCATATATCTATATCTCTATGTTTTCTGTAGTAAAATAGAAAATCACTGGTGAGCCAATCCAAACGAGTCCTCAGCGTAGCGACTCTCCACAGCTGCCTGCCGTCGCTTGCTCTCGTCCAAGAGCTTGGCGATTTTGGATGACTCCGCGTCGCGCAAGTCCTGAGTAGTACTGGGATCAAAATGAAAACATGTATTTATGTAATTATATATACTGTAAAATATCACATTGTGTCAATTGTTCTTTTCTTTTTGGGACCCCTATAACTTATAGAATTCAAGAGACAAACATATAATATTAAACAAAATATTATATATACATATAGAGAGAGAGAGAGACGTGTTATGGGGGTCCAAAAGGAAAATAGACATGTTCTATCATTGATGTCAAGATGATTTAAGAATAACATGTCGCTCAATATTCTATCATATATCTTATATCGTTATTCAATGTCTAAGTTGTAGAGGTCCGAAAAAATAGAAAAGTGTTTCTAGGATGTTATATATGATGTGTCCAACATATTCTTCCAACTTGTGATATCTATTTGGAGGTTGGAAAGATTCACCAAATGGCAGGTCTCCCAATGATAAAGAGAAGAGCAGCAGAACAAAAAGGTGGAAAAGTGTTACTGTACCTTATTCATCCAGGAGTCCAAGATGCAATGATTCGCATGAACCAAAACGCCTTCAGCAGCCGGAGACACGCAAATCTGCTTGGGTGACCATTCAACCATGGCTGCACCATGTCCTGGTTGCATCAACAACATGGCTGCCCCTGCCATGGGTGGCGATTCCACATAGAGTCCTTTCAGAAATTCCACGGCCTCGGATAGATTTCGGGGGCCTAGCAACAGTTCCCACAAAATCACCGTCAGCGGCAGCCCGTTGAAGCTGGGCTCTGATCCACTGCTGGGGTACAGCGTGAAGCGCGAGACGCACAGCCCTGATGCGCCGATGCCAATGGGACACATGGTGCAGCCGGGGTCATACAGCAGCGCTGGGAGTGCAGATGTGAAGCCGAGGCGAACTACCACGTCCAGCTTACCGTAGTCGTAAATGTACACGTCCACCTGAAATGGGGCATAGATGGAAGGGTCTTGCAGAAACATTCAAGCATGAAAATGGCTTGGCTAACCCCAAGATGTTCATCACCGACCAACTTGTAGCCTTCCTTGAAAACTCCGAAATATCCATGACCCAAAAAAGCCTCCAAAAAAAGTCCCAAGATGTTCATCAACTACACCCTAAAAAGGGTTTCTTCAAGCCCTGCTATCACCTCCTCCGTCTGCCCCAGCAAGCAACTGGATGCACACGCCACCCCCGTGCAGCCCACGGCTCTGGCGTCGCGATTCTGGCGTCGCGGGAGCTGTGATGCGACCTGGATCTCGTAGATCGTCAGCAGCTTCCAAAGCTGGTCGCTTCCTACCTGTGGAAGCAGAAACCCATCGGGATACCCATGGCTTTGGTCAACTACCATTAAAAGTTCAGGCTGGTTCTATGTTTTTTTCAATGTTATAGTTATGGTGACATAATGGAGATGTAACTGTATGTAATGGGGATATGTAATTAACAATGTGGAGAATGGGCGTGTCTGAAAACGGGAACCCCCCGGATTATGGCAAGCTGATGGAATATGAATATGATACTCATTCAATTGCGGACAAAATCCATCAAAATCCCACGTTTCGCGGTTTAATCCTTTTTGGGCCAGGCAGCAAATCCTGAAGTAAATGACGTCCATCCAACTTGTAATAGTCCCCAATAAGCCAGCAAGATCCAGCTAGTATAAGGCCCTATCATAACCCATCAACCTGATGGTTTTAGTCACTGGTCACTAAGTTTATCCGTAAACACCCACTTGTTCTATACTTCTGAACTATTCATTGTATCTCAATTCCACATAGAATTATACCGGTGTTACCCATACGGGGGTTTCCATAAAATCAAGTACCCCAAAATGAATGGTTTAGAGTGGAAAATCCGAAAATATAATGGATGATTTAGGGCTACCCCCATTTTAGGAAACCTCCATGTGAATTCCCACTTCTCCAGGGCACACAGGAGATGAACCCCCCGCCTCTCTGGCTGCCCCCGCCAGAAACTTCGCGGCCGCCGTCGCAGCGCCGGCCCTGGCCATCGCCGCCGCAGCGCCCGTGGCCATCTTGGCCCAGGCGCTTTGGCCCGCAGCAGTCCAGGCGAAGTATTCGCCCGTTCGGTGCAGTGAGGTACTCCAGTTTTGGGACAGCTTCCTGGGAGTGGTTTGGAGCAGTTTTTAATGGTTTTTTGGGGTGGAAAATTGAAAACAAATGGTGGAAACTATCATAGTTCATGGGGATTGGAATGTTTTGTTTGCTGTTGGACCATTGATTAGGGTTGGAACATGTTGAAACTATCATAGTCGATGGGGGAAACAGATGGTTCTTGCATATGTGTCGCAAAACCATCAGTAATGGCTCAGAAGGAAAACAAGGGCCGCTGACCCAGCTGGCATGCCACCAAAAAAACAAAACGGCAAGGCGCCGCTCCCTTAAGGAAAGCAGGGACCAGGAAAAAAAAGGCGGGAGAAGCACAGAAGCTGGGAGCCAACCCCAGAGACAAAAAAAAGGGGATGCATTGGTAAACAGATGGTTTGCCTCAATTTTGATCAGTATCCCATTCGTTGATATATTTTTTGGGGGCCGGGGAAATGAAAAATGAAAAAGATGTAGGATGGAAAATCCTCCTGCATTGGAGACTAAGAAAAAACTATGTTCTAAACCCAAGCAGTTTTCTGTGCCAGCAAAGCCCCCAGGTCTTCCAAGGTCTCTGCCTTCAACAGACCCAGGTCGCGGTGAAGCATGTTCTCCTGCTCGCTGTCCACCAACATGTCATCGACACCATCGACAGCGAGGCGATTTCGACCCCAGTGACTCCAGCAAGATCCGCAGAAGAAAGTTTCGGAGTAGGAGCCTTGACGGGTTCTACATCCGCTCTCATTGATTCAACATCTATCGTAGATACAATCTCGAAATTGCAGATCCGATGAAATGTTCACAGATTTGATAAGCCCGGCTCAAGACTGATGTTGTAAACCATCACGTTCACAACTTTTCGCAGATCAAGTTTTCGAAAAGTCATATGGTGCTTCCCAGGCCGTTTCAGATCCTATATTTTCCAACCCATATATCGCAGCTGTGTTGGTTTAAATTCCAATCATTGTAGATGAAGGCCCCATAATTTTGCTTTCAACCCCCCCATTCTCCAAAAATTCTACCAAATGTTCCCTCAATGACTCGGTAAGTTCTGGTGTTGAAACCCATGGCTTACCACACCCAACATCCCAGAACTGCCAAAAATCAAAGCAGGGAATGTTCCCTCAAAAAAAAAAATGTTTTCCACCACCGCTCACCTTCACCGTGGTATCCCTCCCCCTCCGCGCCACACTCAGCACAGCGCCCCTGCGTTCCCGTGACCGTGCCGTCGCCGCTCGTCAGCCGCTGCGCTGCCAGGTTCAAATCGCCCCCCGCGCGCGTCAGCGCCACGCGACAGGTCTCGAGGTCCAGGCAGCTGATGGAAACCAACAGGGCCAGCTGCTCGTCCATCGGACAAAGATATGGTGCTGGATATGCAATGTGTATATATATATATATGTCATTCATAATTCACCTGAAAAATCTGGGTGAATTAAGTTTGAAATATGTTTCGAAAACGCCCACTAACTCTATAAATGGGATGATTTCTTGGAAATAAAAAGCAACGATATTTTTTGCAAGCCCCAAATAGATAGAAACTATCTTGAAATCTGGACATATGAGGTAAAATCATCTATAATATGCTGGAAACACTTCTCGGCATCGCGCGGTTGCTATATACATATATGTGATGAAACTGAAAGTTGATGATGTCTGATATGTTTGCTGTGACAGATATTTTTGTTGGGAAATGTTGGGACATGAGATTACAGTAAACCACTTTATCGTTTTTTGAGGAGATTGAAACATATGTATATATATATATATGACTCATCACGCTCCAGCACTTTCTTTTCACTCATGCCAAAGCAGGAGAGTTGTTTGAAGTCAGTGAAGTCGTCACTGAATGCTGGAGCGTCAAGACACCTTTCACTAAATGAAGGTGTTGGAAGCCAATGCCCCCAGTGTGGATGGAGGGGCTGGAGGTGGAGCTGCTAGAACTTGATACGAAAAAGACGGCATTCGATTGAAACACTTCCACTTGTCGTCAACCACCTGCGAGCAGAACTAATGACTCATCACGCTCCAGCACTTTCTTTTCACTCATGCCAAAGCAGGAGAGTTGTTTGAAGTCAGTGAAGTCGTCACTGAATGCTGGAGCGTCAAGACACCTTTCACTAAATGAAGGTGTTGGAAGCCAATGCCCATAGCCCATAAACATCAGGTGTTGATGGCTCTGGAAACTGTCCCCGCAATTAAGTCTGCCAAGGCCCAAGGATACGGTTGCGCCAGCAAGGTGCGATATAGTCCATTCGCAGCTTTGCCTGCCAAGGGCACGTGTGGACGACCAGTAGCAGAACATATGTTGCGGGTACCAGTGCGCCGTTTAGAAATAACAGGAAGGTTCCAATAGTTACCCATAATAGTAGTTGATTTCTTCCAGTCTTCACCAAATTGACAATAGTCCAACGTCTCAACACAGGGCATGAATAGCTTGATGAACTTCTTCATGGGAGGCATGTGCCATGCAAAACTACTGTAAGGGTTCTCCAATGCATATGGAATATGTAATCTTTCACAAATCGCCAGAAGACGCAATGAAAAGCGAAGTAAATTGTTACCCTCCAAAACCTTCAAACGATCCTTGTGTGAAAGCCATGGATAACCATAAATGTTGTCATAGTCACGCAAAGGGTCAGGACCATTATCGTCCCATTTTCGCGCTTGTGAGAAACTGGTACATGGCATGCCAAGCCAAACCATCTTGACGCGGCCTCCCAACAGCAAATGTACAATCTGATGCTCAACTGAAATATCGAATACATTGTGAGAAGGAAAAAGGCAAATATCAATGGGGAAACATGGAAGACCACACTGTGCAAACGCACTGCAAATACGTGCAGTGCCAGCAAAAAGCTCCAAGCCAAATTGTTGCGGCAACGTTGAAAAACTCAGGACATCAGGCCAACCATAACCTTTCATGGAACCCGGGGAGCCAACTGGCCCCGAAGAACCTTCTCGATGTTTTTCAGTGACCAACGACAAAACTCCAAATGACTCGGAGATAACTGTGCCATGAGCTTTTGAATCTTCCCTGTCTTGGCATACCTTCTGACGCTTTGATCCGTATGCCAACGACCTCTTATCTTGACTCTTTGAAAGTCTCGGTCTCCACTGTTTAAGTCTTCTGATGCTCCTCCGTGACGGCATTGATATGGGTGGAGATTCTTCAGCTGAAGACGTTCTCCTGCAGCCTGGAACTTCTTTCTGAACTCTGCCGCAGTGAACTGAAACACAAACTCGCTTGTCTTCTTTGCAATCTTCACCTGCTGCCACATGAGATCTCCCAAGTACTCCCTGCCTGGACTGTTGAGGGCAATGGTGTTGTCGTAGATGCCTGCTTTGTCGGGCTTCTGATCCACGATATCTCTCACCACAATCCCGTACCAGCGATACTGCTTTCCTGCTCCTGCCACTGGTGGGATGACGTCCTTGCAACGAATGTCTATGCTTTCGCCAGGACGTAGGTAGGTGTCGTGATCCAGCATGACTTTCAAAGCCATGCTTTTCAGCCCTTGGCTCGCCAGCACCATAGCCATGCCTGCTGCCACAAGACGAGGGAGAGGCAACCTGCTCTGGGGAGGGCGCTCCTTGCGCCAACCACGTAGTGCCCTCTTCGATCTCACCAAACAACCTTTGAGCTTCACGTTGTTGAATTCTACTGCTGCGACAACCTTCTCTCCTTCGGCTGCCGAGCGGTTGTCTAGGAACATCACGTCCAAGAAATCTGCAAGAATGGCGTCGACATCCTTCACTAACGGCCATTTTAACCCGCTGTCCCGGCAGAAACTCTCGAACTTGAGAAGGAATGATTGATACTGATGTCGAACCTCGGTCGAGATTGACTTCTGTTCCAGAATTGTCAACCGGTTCAACTGGGCTCTCTTTCCAGCATCCTTCACCTCCTCCGACTTCAAGGCACTCACTACTCGCACCTCTCTTGGCTGCTTCTTCTTCAGCTCTACCTTCACCACTCGCTTCTTTGCGGCCTGGCTCACAGGTTGAGTTGCATTCTGCAGCTGTCCACTCTTCACCTTGGGAACTTTGGCTGAAGGTGCTGTGTTCTTCTTCAGCACTCGGCACGTGTGAGCCTTGCTCACTTTGACACCCATCTGCGTACTGGAAAGGACCCGGGCGGATCTTCCCCCTGGAGGGCCCATCGGAGACATTGCGCTCAGATGGAATCCATCGCAATCGCAAAGTGAAAGAACCCAAAAATGAAAGTGCCGCTACTTGTTGTGCAATTCTCAGCATGCGAAAATCCTTAGCTCTACCTTTTGAAATACTCAATGCTAAACCCAGATTGTCGACCAAAATAACATGTCGCTTGTTGCGATGCCTACTCGATCGAACCAGGCGGCGGAGACAAAGAACTAGAGCACGACCTTCCTTAAGAGTGATGTGTTCACCTGTCCTCCACTTTCGATCAGGGATGTGTTCCACTGTGAAGGGTCAACCACTTCTAAAGGAACTTCTGGGAAATCATCATCAATAACATAGTCTTGACCTTCGGGAAGGGGGTCCTCATCACCTAATACCGTTTCCACATCAGTAATCGGATCCAATCCCATAGCCCGCCTTCGCGGGGCCCACTCCTCCGGCGGTAGACGCCGAAAACGCCATCTCTCATTCCACCTGCCAAGCTGCCCCACTGCTTCACAACCCAGTTGCCGTTCACAAATCCCATAACCCTGAGGACTGGCATCTGTGCAAAAAAGATCTTCACTCCAAGGCCTTCGAATACTTGCATATAACAATGGAATAAGACCCGCAAAAACCGTGCACTCTTGTCTTTCTCGGCGATTGAGCATCCGTGATTCACCCCCCTTCTCAATGAAGTCATAGCAACTGCGAAACACACTCATCCCCCCACGATGTAAGGTAGAGAAAAACATAGCGTGCCCCAACAACTTTTGCATGATAGAAGGAGAAATAGGATGACTTGCTGCATACTCAAAAGCCCGTATCAGGTCCCATGCACGTTCCGCTGTCATACGGATTTGCCCGGCCTCACCATCAACCTCCCCACCCAAGGTGAAGAAAGAAGTAGACGCAGGTTCATCCTCATGTATCGAAAAACCAAGACCACCCAAATCCTGTGTGACCTTTCGTTTGGCCTCTTCACAAAGATCCTTGTCAGTGCTCATGCAATGGATGTTATCACAGTAAGGCATGCTAGTAACGGAATGTTTGGCGATGGAAGGAGCAGGACGGTTCTCAAGGAAAAGAGCATCTTCATCAATGGAAAGACTACGCAATACAGACTGCTGGTGAATCTGCTGCACCAAATAAAAACTCCAGGAGAATCCCATGGGGAGTACATTGATGCATGGGGAAACCCAATCCTTACCAAAATCACAACTATTGCTGCCCGAGATCAAAGCTGCCTCTTCACGCGTCACATCGAAGCCAAGGCAAAAATAATCCTGCATCATGGATGGGATGTGCACAGCATAGAAACAGTCTTGGATATCAGCTCCGCTCATGAATACGTTTGAACCCTCCTCAAGTTCCATCTCGGCCAAGCTTGCCAAGCTTCCCAACGTGGTATGTGGGGCAGGTCGAAAAAGCTGATTGGTCTGTCTACAGTCAAGCACTAATCTTTGTCTCTTCTTTACTTGACCCTCAACTACCTTGTCCTTCTTTGAAACTGTGAAAGCGCCCACCCTACCTTTGCAACCATTGCTGAAAGAAAGAATCCCCCGATCAAACAGAAGTTGAAGAAACTGAATATAATTGGACCGATCATTCAACAAAGGGTCGTTGTAAGGTTTAAGGTGAGAGCTATCACGAGAGATTGCTGTCCATGTCAAGTCATCTTGCAGCATCCTGTCCTCAAACTCACTCACCACACCACGAGTCGGCTCATCCAAGGCAGAAAGGAGGTCCACGCCGGCTGTACCAACACTAGGCAGGGACAAACAGCTGAAGTCCATTCCAACCACATCGCCCACGCTAACTTCTGGCCCAAGATAACCAGAAGCAGCCACCCGGAGCGCTTTTGAGGCTCCTGAGTTGTCTGCAGGAGGCCCTGCTCCCAAACGTTTCACAGCAGCAATGATGTCCTGAATGGCAAGACACTGAATCAAAGGCAAGTCCTCAAGACGGTCAACTGCAGCGACGTTGGATGGAGCAGCTCCCCCAAAAAATAATGAATTCAAACTGTCAACCACGCGATTGGTCATCAGGATCACATGGTTACGGCGCAGCACTCTCCGAGCAGTAGTTCGACACAACCCCCTGTCAGCAATCCCTCGCTGTTTCAAACGAGGCAAGGGAAAAGGATCACGAAGTCTATCGTCTGGCAGAGGCTCATGAAAAATCGAGCTACTCCAGTGACGCACCATGAC